TTCATGACAGCCTAGCAGACCTTGGCCAGAGCCTGGCGCCAACCATTTCTTAATATCGTTAAAGTTAAGCAGCATCTCATGAAAACCATGGTCCATGAGAAGCTCACATCTATACTTACCAACACCCATGCCAAATTTCTGAAGTTTTGGGATCTATGGATAACCTATAATAACCACTTAAACCTGGACCATTCTTTACTCTCCATATGATCGTTTGGACGGACATCATTTGTGCTATGTAATGGGCTAGCCCCCACAGGATTTTCCCCACCCGCTTCCTCCCCCAGGCAAGTCTCCCTTTCTTCCTTTCTACTGCCCGCCTAAGATTTTAGGTGGATATTCTGCATGCTCTCCCATTCACTCTCACACTTCAGCCCTGTCTTAGGTTCTGGAGTACCCTACTCCTACTGCCATCGAGGCGTACTGCCTCATAGGTAGTGTTACTGATGGAGCTTCTCGCAGCTCACATTACAATTGAATAAGTGCAGTTACCTGTGCCTTACAGTGTGAGATGTCATTTGCAGTGTCACCTCTGCTCTATTTGATGGACCTGTTTTTATTGTTTTCTTGCCTCTGTAACCTCACCGTTGTTCCATTCTTTTCTATATGTGAATATTTTACATACCCTGTACCAACACTCAAAAACCCAATAACATTTTTGTGAATTAAATATTAATAGCAGCACAGCCTGACTATGGTAAATGTTCCCTGCATAACCACTGGCCAATGGGCTAATGACTCAACCCTGCCAGTGTTGGTGCCCCTTATGATGGGAATATTTGTAACCCCAGTAGACAAGTGTCTCAGTTTCTGTTGGCAGTACTCCACTACAGGCAGCAATAATGACTAAAGCAGCCAAATAAACATTATAAGAGTGGCCAAAAGATGTCTTAGTATGGTCCTCACAGACACAGTCCTTCCCAGTGATGGCTGCTTCCATATGCAAGATTGACGTGGATGCAGATTCAGTGTGAGGTCAGGCAAAAGGTAGCACTCAAGGCTTTGAGTGTACCTCTCAAACCAGCACCTCAAGCACACAGCACAGATGCAACATTGTGGTTCTCACACAGCAAAATGATATAATTATTATTAATATTAGTAGCCTATATGTTACAGCACATACTGTATAATAGTGTTTTAGATCCAGGCTGTTTTTGTCCAAATCCCATGTGCCTATGTTGAATACAGCTAGAGACTGCAGCGTGGTGGTGTTTTAAGTCTCCTTCTAGGCTCAAATTGTGCTTAGACCATGCCAGTCGAATGGTACATTGAGGATAGCAGGGAGTTTAGGTCTATAGCTGGTAATAGAGAGGTGCACATGGCAAGAATCATTTCAGATTCTTCCAGTGTTTGTGCTGCTTCTCCCAAAGGCGTAAAGTAGCTATGGATTTCAGTGGTATAGCTGGGTGCCCGGAGCTTTGTCTTCCTCATTTTCCAATGTCTGAAAAGGAGTGTCCAACAGATTAGAGCAGTGAAGCGGAGTTTGGGAGCCCAGCACCAGTGATACTTCATTCTTCCATACTGAAGCCACAATCCTCAAATACAGTTCGGTATTTGATATGTATATTAAAATGTACTTTGAAGGGACACCTGTGGACAGAGATAAAAGGGAGTACGGTTAGCTCTATAAAAGGTTCTGTTGCAGGTCTCTTCTCCTATTTTTACTCTCTACTACATCCCTGTACAATTACTTTATTCTTGTAACATCTGGGATCATTTCAATGAAGCTGGGGGTAGCTTTACAGTATTTCCAAGTACTTCAAAGTTGTTACAGGAATTTAATGACTCATGAATACTGGTAAAAGTAGGAGGCAGCTTTTCACTAACTGGGGAAGTCAGAATGGATGGTGAGGAGTCTAAGTCACTGCTACTAGTAGACTAGAGCAGCCTTTTGCATCCAGGGTGCCCAGGCACCCTGGGGTGCCTTGATGTTTCTTCAGGGGTGCCTTGGCAAAATTTCTAAAAATTGCCCAAAACTTGTATGCAAGCCAGCGGGTGGAACAAGCCTGGCTTTTAGTTACACAAAGCCACAGGTTTTCATTGTGCACCATTACGACCTTCTAGCCGCCGGCGTCCTGACAACCAATGACATCATCAGTTGATAAGGAGGATGTTGGTTGCCTGCACAGCATCCTAGTTTGACCCTCCCCTGCCCCTCTCCATCAGTGCTGGGGTCACATTAGCTCTGTGATGGAGAAAAACTGAGGGAAAGAGAAACACTGGAATACTAGTCAGTACCAGTGTGCAAAAGTGTATTTGCTTTGGAAGAATAAATCACCTCTAATGTTGGGTGTCCTACATGTGTGGATGTTGCTGCGTTATATAAAACTATTAGAATACTTTTTCACATTTTAGAATGGGGTGCCCTTTTAAAATTATGGACAGTCTTAGGCACCCTATTTTAGAATGGTGTGCCTCAAGACTGTCCATAATTATAAAGGGTGCCTCGGGGCTGTCCTTAATTTTAAAGGGTGCCTTGACCTAACAAAGGTTGAGAAACACTGGACAATAGGACTGTTAGCATGCAGTTTACACAGACATACAGGGGAAAATCAAAAAATTTGAATATTGTGCAAAAGTTCATTTATTTTAGTAATGCAACTTAAAAGGTGAAACTAATATATGAGATAGACTCATTACACGCCAAGCAAGATGGTTAAAGCCGTGATTTGTCATAATTGTGATGATTATGGCGTACAGCTCATGAAAACCCAAATCCACAATCTCAGAAAATTAGAATATTGTGAAAAGGTGCAATATTCTAGGCTCAAAGTGTCAAATATAAAAACATCTGTATCCTAAATGGAAACAAATAGATACAATGTTTCAACAGCTGTAAATGTGAAGGAACTGTCAGAGAACTGTCAGAAATAGCGGAGCTCTCTGCAGGGACACTTTTTGCCGGCTGTAGAAGGGATGAAAATCGGGCCGATCGGGGAAAATTCGATTCGTGCATCCGAAGTTTGCTAATTTTCGGATTCGGCGCGAATCAAATTTTTCCTAATATTCGAAACGAATTCCACTTCGCCAAGTTCGATTCGCTCATCTCTAGTGTCAATGATGGTTTTCTGCACAACTGTCAGGTCAGCAGTCTTTCCCATGATTGTGTTTCCTACTGAACCAGACTGAGAGACCATTTAAGGCTCAGGAACCCTTTGCAGGTGTTATGGCTTAATTAGCTGATTAGAGTGGGACACTTTGAGCCTAGAATATTGCACCTTTTCACAATATTCTAATTTTCTGAGATTGTGGACTTGGGGTTTTCATGAGCTGTACGCCATTTGTTTCCATTTAGGATACAGATGTTTTTATTTGGAAACAAATAGATACAATGTTTCAACCGCTGTAAATGTGAAGGAACTGTCAGAGAACTGTCAGAAATAGCGGAGCTCTCTGCAGATACACTTTTTGCTGGAATGGAATTCTTCTTATTTTCATCCTATTTTCATCCTACTTCTTCCTTCTTTCTTCTTCTTCATCATCCTCAATTCTTCTTCATTCTCTCTTCATCCTCATCTCTCATTCTCTCTTCTTCATCTTCATCTTCTTCTTCCATCCTCATCCTGTTTCATCCTTCTTTCATCCCTCATTTCTTCTTCATCATCCTCATCCTCTCTTCTTCTTCTTCATCCTCAAATCTTCTCCTAAATATTCTTCTTCTCATCCTCATCCTCTTCTTCATCTCATCCCTCTCTTCTTCTTCTTCATCCTCAAACTCATCCTCTTCTTCTTCTTCTTCTTCTTCATCCTCATCCTATCCTCCTCATCCTCCTCTTCTTCTTCTTCTTCTTCTTCATCATCATCCTCTTCTCTTCTTCTTTCATCCTCATCCTCTTCTTCTTCTTCTTCTTCATCTCTTCTTCTTCTTCTTCTTCATCCTCATCTCTTCTTCCTCTTCTTCTTCTTCTTCTTCTTCTTCCTCATCCTCTTCTTCATCTCATCATCTTCTTCTTCTTCTTCTTCTTCTTCATTCATCTTCTTAATCCTCATCCTTCTTCTTCTTCTTCTTCTTCTCTCATCTTCTTCTTCTTCTTCTCACCTCATCCTCTTCTTCTTCTTCATCATCATCCTCATCCTCTTCTTCATCCCATCCTCATCTTCTTCTCTTTCCTTCTTCTTCTTTTCATCTTCATCTTCTTCATCTCTTCTTCTTCTTCTTCTTCTTCCTCATCCTCATCCTTCTTTCTTCTTCTTCTCATCCTCATCCTCTTCTTCTTCTTCTTCTTCATCCTCATCCTCTTCTTCTTCTTCATCCTCATCCTTTCTTCTTCTTCTTCTTCTTCATCCTCATTCTCATTCTTCTTTTCTTCTTCATCCTCATCCTCTTCTTCTTCTTCTTCTCCTTCTTCTTCCTTCATCTTTTCCTCTCTTCTTCTTCTTCTTCCTCATCCTCATCTTCTTCATCCTCTCCTCTTCTTCTTCTTCATCTCATCCTCATCCTCTTCTTCTTCTTTCTTCCTCATCTTCTCTCTTCCCTTTTCTTCTTCTTCTTCTTCTTCTTCATCTATTCTTCTTCTTCTTCTTCTTCTTCTCCTTCATCCTCATCTTCTTCTTCTTCTTCTTCTTTCATCCTCATCTTCTTTTTCATCCTCTTCTTCTTCTTCTTCTTCTTCATCCTCATCCTCTTCTTCTTCTTCTTCTTCCTCATCTCTTCTTCTTCTTCTTCTTTCCCTTCATTCCTCTTCTTCTTCTTCCTTCTTCCTCCTTCTTCTCTTCTTCTTCTTCTTTTCCTTTCCTCCATCCTCTTCTTCTTCTTCTTCTTCATCTTCATCCTCATCTTCTTCTTCTTTCATCCTCATCCTCTTCTTCTTCTATTTCTTCTCTTCTTCTCTTCTCTTCTTCATCTCTCTTCTTCTTCTTCATCCTCATCCTCTTCTTCTTCTCTTCTTCTCTCTTCTTCATCCTCATCCTCTTCTTCATCTTCTTCTTCATCCTCATCTTCTTTTTTTCTCATCCTCATCCCATCTTCTTCTTCTTCTTCTTCTTCATCATCCTCATCCTCTTCTTCTTCAATTGAAGCTGCTTCTGCTCACTCTGCCATTGGACTCTTGATAGTCGTCTCCACACTGCTGCTGGGGGGACTTTTTAACATAGGCCTCCTGTACGGCCTTCAATTTGAAGCTGCTTCTTCGCCACTCTCATGGGCCCCTGTACCGCCTCCTCATGCTCTGCCAGGTCCAGAGTGTAAATAAATTAAATACTCTAAATTTCTTCGAAAAGTATCACTCTCACCCTTGAAAGTGCAAACAAAATGTCTAATATCTTTTCGATACTCCCTCACCTCTCCCACCAGTGCATCCAAATGTCCAGATATAAGTCCTTCCTGATCTCCAAAAATACAGTCTTTCCAATAATTAGTGTTTTTCAAACGTTAAGGGACCCTCCACTTTGCTGAATTCCAATCCAGGACCTCAAAATCAGGATCCTCAAAAAAAAATATAAACTCAATATTTCTTGCATTATCATTTCTTCTCGTGAAAACTAAAAGTGATTCCTCCAAAACTCCCACCCGTGATAAAACAGCACTCCAAAAAAAGTGATAAGGTGCAGCACTCCACACCAGTTTTACCATCTCAAATAAACTAAAAACCATTACCCTCTAATAAACATACATCCAAAATAAATCATGAATAAATGGTGCCATCTCTCTTTGTGGAATAAAATACTATTACCCTCTTGCAATGCAGACCAAGCAGAATTTCCTTCAAAGCAATCCAGAGTTTCCCCCTCTCTTCGGAAGCTTCTATTTGCTTCCAATCCACCTTCCCAGTTCCTCTAGTACACAACTCAGTGAAGTATCCTATAAAAGGATTTCACAATTTATTAGTATCTTACATAAAAAAACGCCAGCGTCCATCCTCTCCACAGTCCATGTATCTGAATTCCAGTGTCCAAGATGGCCGTGCCGCTACTTCAGTTTGAAATCGTATAGTACGTCCTTACGTCTTTTAAGGACGTAAGGACGTACTATACGATTTCAAACTGGAAGTAGCGGCACGGCCATCTTGAACACTGGAATTCAGATACATGGACTGTGGGGAGAGGATGGACGCTGGCGTTTTTTATGTAAGATACTAATAAATTGTGAAATCCTTTTATATATACTTCACTGAGTTGTGTACTATCTGCCCTTTTGAGGAACTGGGAAGGTGGATTGGAAGCAAATAGAAGCTTCCGAAGAGGGGGAAACTCTGGATTGCTTTGAAGGAATTCTGCTTGGTCTACATTGCAAGAGGGTAATAGTATTTATTCCACAAAGAGAGATGGCACCATTCATTTTGGATTTATTTTGGATGTATGTTTATTAGAGGGTAATGGTTTTTAGTTTATTTGGATGGTAACACTGGTGTGGAGTGCTGCACCTTATCACTTTTTTTGGAGTGCTGTTTTATCACGGGTGGGAGTTTTGGAGGAATCACTTTTAGTTTTCACGAGTGTTTCTTTTTTTTGTAATGATAATGCACTATATTGAGTTTATATTTTTTTGAGGTATCCTGATTTGAGGTCCTGGATTGGAATTCAGCAAAGTGGAGGGTCCCTTAACGTTTGAAAAACACTACTTATTGGAAAACACTGTATTTCAGGTTCAGAGTGTGTCATGGGTCCCTGTACGGCCTCCCATTGCTGCTGTCTCCATCGCCACACTCTGCCATGTGCCACTTTCAGGTCTCCTCACACTGCTGGTGGGTTCCATTTTGTCATAGGGTGCTGTATGGCCTCCCATTGCTGCTGCCTCCACCGCCACAATGTGGCTCCACACTCTGGTTTTGGCCCCGTGACTGCCCAAATGAGTGAAGTGTGCGGTGATTCTAAGATCGACGGCACTCATCTGCATGTCATACTGACTGACAGTATTATTTCTCTTCCCCAGCAGACTCCAAGGGCATTTAAATTAAAGGTACAGTGTTCTGCACTAATATAAAGGCTCTCTGAAGCCTAGAAACCCTTTTAATAAGTTAAATTCGCAGCGAATCGAATTTATTCCGCAAATTCGGCGAATCAGCCGAATCGAATTTTTGAATAATTCGCTCATCTCTAATTGACACCCTCCATAAGGAGGGAAAGCCTCAAAAGGTAATTGCAAAAGAAGTTGGATGTTCCCAAAGTGCTGTATCAAAGCACATTAATAGAAAGTTATGTGGAAGGGAAACGTGTGGAAGAAAAAGCAGGGTTGTCAGGAAAAGGCCATTCAAAAGTGTTGGGGAATTTCACAAGGAGTGGACTGAGGCTGGAGTCAGTGCATCAAGAGCCACCACACACAGACGGATCCTGGACATGGGCTTCAAATGTCGTATTCCTCCTGAACAACAAACAACGTCAGATGCGTCTTACCTGGGCTAAAGAAAAAACAGACCTGGTCTGTTGCTCAGTGGTCCAAAGTCCTCTTTTCTGATGAGAGCAACTTTTGCATCTCATTTGGAAACCAAGGACCCAGAGTATGGAGGAAGAATGGAGAGGCACACACTGCAAGATGCTTGAAGTCCAGTGTGAAGTTTCCACAGTCTGTGTTGATTTGGGGATCCATGTCATCTGCTGGTGTTGGTCCACTGTGCTTCATTAAGTCCAGGTTCAACGCAGCCGTCTACCAGGAGATTTTGGAGCACTTCATGCTTCCTTCCGCAGACAAGCTTTATGGGGATGCTGACTTCATTTTCCAGCAGGACTTGGCACCTGCCCACACTGCCAAAAGCACCAAAACCTGGTTCATTGACCGTGGGATTACTGTGCTTGATTGGCCAGCAAACTCGCCTGACCTGAACCCCATAGAGAATCTATGGGGCATTGTCAAGAGAAAGATGAGAGACATGAGACCGAACAATGCAGAAGAGCTGAAGGCCGCTATTGAAGCATCCTGGTCTTCCATAACACCTCAGCAGTGCCACAGGCTGATAGCTTCCATGCCACGCCGCATTGAGGCAGTAATTGCTGCAAAAGGGGCCCAAACCAAGTACTGAGTACATATGCATGCTTATACTTTTCAGAGGTCCAATATTGTTCTATGTACAATCCTTGTTTTATTGATTGCATGTAATATTCTAATTTTCTGAGATTGTGGATTTGGGGTTTTCATGAGCTGTAAGCCATAATCATCACAATTATGACAAATCACGACTTGAACTATCTTGCTTTGCATGTAATGAGTCTATCTCATATATTAGTTTCACCTTTTAAGTTGCATTACTGAAATAAATGAACTAAGACTGAAGTAACTTCATGTCTCTGTGTGCTCTGGTTGTTTTCAAGTAAAGCAAGAAGGGCTAAGCTATGTGCCCAGTACATCATCTGACTGCTGGGAATACACAGCTTCACAAGATCAGCCAAAAACCTCATTGAATCCCAAAAATTAAACAAAACCTTTGGTCACAGCATACACTTTAATTTTATAAGCATTGGAACAATACAAACAATAGTTATTTTTTTGAGCTTACTTGAAAAACCTCCCTTCAAGTTGTCTGTTGACCATCTCTTTCCACAACTTTCTGGATTCCCTGCATGCTTTGCAGCTTCTCTTCTGTAAAGGCTCTCACATACCTAGCTCTCCTGAGAACTGACATGCCCCCCTAAACACTTCTCTAATCAAAACTGCTCTTACTACTTGGGCATTAGAGTGGTGTGAATTAAGTGGATGTCAAGAGCATCTAGTGCTCCTGCTCCGTCACAGCTGCTGGTCTCATTCCAACATCCTGGTTTTGGCTATGATGCATTCTCCCTGTCTGTCTGACCACCTGCAAGTTGATTGCTGTGGCCAATTTTTGGGTGGAGGCCAAACCTGATTTAAGCCAGCCAAGCCTGCAGTCTCATGCTTGTGATAGCATGTGTAATAAATGCTCAAGTTCCCTGTCTGTCTTGCTCTGCTGTTTTGATTCCCCTGTTTATGACCTTGGATTGGATATCGACTATCCTCTGAACTTTGCCTGCCTTTTGACTATGGATTGGACCCTGACTACTATGAACCTTACCTGCCTTTGTACCTAGACTGCCACTCTGCCAAATACAAGTACCTGTGCTCAGTTTGCGCCTTCCCGAGCATGGTAGCCAGGCACTATAGCATTGTGTATACATTTGGGGGCAACCGAGTTTGGGTAGGCCTGCTATACATGAAGAACACAGAAGCCAGCTATATTATCTGATCACCTGCATTAGGGGTGGGTGTGACCAAGGGTTTAAATAGACTTTACCTTTTTTTAAGTAGAAATTGGATGGTAAGTTATTTTCCTAAACTGTGTTTACTAGTTTTCCCTATTTTAAAACTAAATGCTAGGTATGATGTTTATTGCATACTTATAGTGGCCCATAAACAAATATATATATATATATATATATATATATATAAATGGAGTGGACTTGATAGGCCACTGGGTCTTATTTCTACCGTCACTCTTCTATAACATCAAACTTCTATGTTTCTATACCCACACTTTTCTATATTTCAGGTTGGACCTATGTAGTATGCATATCTCATTCAGCCCTACTACCCCTGTATTCACTGAAAAAAATACAAAGCCTTCTGTGAATGATGGCAGTTCTGAGCAAGCCACCACCTGTGGTTTCTATGCAGAAGGGAAGCCTGCTTTGCACAGAACCCAGAAGAGCGCTGCTATCACTGTAGTAGGGATGACTGAGATATGTGTAATTACATTGGTCCAACTGGGACTAATATAACTATGCATTAAAAATCAGTGACAAGCGAGTGGCCATTATGGTTACCATGCAAGACGAAAGTCACTTGGCACAAGACCCAGAACTCTAGTAGCACCCACTAACAGAGTGAACATCAGTTTCCCCATCAGTCACTAAGGTATGAGATATGCAAATTTACCTTGGTCCAAGCTGAACCAATGTAACTATGCAATTAAAATCATACCTGAACTTCAGCTTTAAGATAATAAATTACAAAAGGCAATTGGAAATAAAATAGGTTCTCTAGTTCAAACTATTTTTTTAAGCAGCACATCTTTCCAAAGCACAAGCTGTTTTACTTAGTTCCCAGTTACAAACAATTTATATTACACTATCATTACAATCATTATTATCTTTGATTATTTGTGAACTGCCAACATATTATGTAGTGTGTTGTGCGTAATAAATGGTATCCATTATAAACTTGCAGAGAAAAACAAGTACAGAAACATGCCCTGCCTGCCCACACAATCTGGTGTGAGTCCTAATGAAATGATGCCGAGAATTCCAAAGGATGGGGGTAACCCTAGGGACATCTTAGAGCCATCTGTTGCTGTTTTTGTATAATATTTTTTTGTTAACAACTGTAGCAGAGTGTTGGACCATGTTAGCCATTGATCAGTGCATAACAATTGGAGTTTAAGCAATACATTTTGTTGACTAACCTAAAAGTGTACTCTATGTCCACGTATACATTTACATTTTGTATCTCCATCTGAACAAAGCAAAGGAAGAGGAGGGTGGATGGATTCACCTCTGTTCAGCCTCTTTTACTGGTTCCTAAAGTTTAGCTAGAGCTCTTGAGCTCTGTAAAAAAAAAAAAAAAAAATAGGATTTTAAACAGAGTAGCTAATAGTCTAGTAGGCTAGTGGGAAACATATATAAAACATTATTGGGATAAATTTATTATGACTTCGAAAATAAAAAGACTAGCTCGGCACACTTGGCATATTGGCTACTAACCTATTTGGAAAGGGAGGCAAGTTTGTAGTTCTCTTCCATTTTGATTCAAGCCCCCATGCACTTTGGCATGGGGGACTGTGCCTTGTGAGCAGTGCAAGGTATCATTCTCAGCCACACCCTACACAGAGATTTTTCTAGTTTGCAGGATCTATTTGCCTGCAGACTGAGAGCCATCATTGGAGTGATGCCTGGATACCTATATGACTATTATTTTTATTTATTTTAGTGCATATCTATACATATTTCTCTAAGAAGAAGAAAAAGTTGTAAAAAGGGCATGACATTTCCTTTGCTAAATATGCCTAAATGTTAATTATACCTAAACAGTACCCTGGAAGGTTAGATTTTTATCTCAAATTGCTTCAAAAAAATAACTTCCAGAACTTAGGTGCTTCTGTGCTGCCAGGAAGATTGAATACATGGCCATGCCTGAAGATCTCTGCTTGCAGGTAGATAGAGTCAATGATGTGTGTGCATCCACGTATGTTGATGCACATAAATTAGCATGCACATCTGGCACTGGCTTTTTGTACCTATTTAAAGCACAGCACAACTAAGGAAAATTGCTGAGTGGTCTTCAGCTTCTGCAACTCTGGCTCAACTTGACTATGGCTGTGATTCTTGCACCTTCACGTTGCTACGCTCCAGAATTCTGCACAAGTTCCAGTCTGAGTATCCTTAGCATCCTAGCAGTGTGCAGACTGTCATCTGACCACCTACTCTGCAAAGACCTACCACAGACCCCCATGCCATTCCTTGTCCTGCTACGCCCTGTCATCAGTTCCAGGGGATATTAGACAGTAGGTGTAAGGGAATCCCTCTCATTAGTTCAGCCGCTACCACATATGTGATATGCCTTGAGCCTCACAACTAAATATCTGCAATGTGAGTTCATCTAACTGCTAGTCTCAAAAGATTTAGAATGAGGTTTGGTGATAATTCTACTGTGCTGCTCATTGTTCTCCTTGCTGAAGTGAAAACTGTACCAGAAGACATACAGTGCAAAGATATGCTTGCTTCTGCTTCATTCATTCTGTGGATCAGTGCTTTCGTAACTTCTGCTGCTTCTTGAATTTTACCCAACCATTCATCAGATCACCAATCATCAGTGGGGAAGCTCTGACATGTGGAGAGAAAGTTCTGCTTCTCTACAAAGACAGCCCCTCCACATAGAGACATGGTGCAGAACAAAGCAGTATGAATTAGTAATGGGGACCAGATCTGCTCTGGGACTTGTTTAGGCGGAGCCTTCACAGTTTAGTTTCATTTAGTAAAGCC